CCTTGGAAATCTGGGAATGGAACCACCATTTGACCCAGCTATCCCTCTCCTCAGTCTATAGCCAAAAGACTTAAAAACAGCATACTACAGGAACACAGCACAATGTTTATAGCAGCACAATTCACAATAGCTAAACTGTGGAACTAATCTAGATGCCCTTCAGTGGATAAATGGATAAAAAAAATGTGGCCTATATACACAAGGGAATATTACTCAGCAATAAAAGAGAATAAAATCATGGCATTTGCAGGTAAATGGATGACCTTGAAGAAGATAATGCTAAGTGAAGTTAGCCAATCCCCAAAAAAACAAATGCTAAATGTTTTCTCTGAGATAAGAAGGCTGACTCATAGTGGGGTAGGGAGGGGGAGTGTGGGAGGAATAGATGAATTCTAGATAGGGCAGAGGGGTGGGAGGGAAAGGGAAGGGACAGGGGATTAGCAAGGATGGTGGAATGTGATGGACATCCTTATCCAAAGTATATGTATGAAGACATGAATTGGTGTCAACATACTTTATCTACAACCAGAGATATGAAAAATTGTGGTATATATGGTAATAAGAATTGTAATGCATTCTGCTGTCATTTAATTTTTTTTAAAAAATCAATTAAAAAAAAAAAAAAAGAACAGTAAGTCTCATTAGAACAGTGTATCTTCCATGCCTGGGGATGACAGTCCTAATAACATCAAAATACCTCGATTTTTAAATATGTAAATAGCAACTTTAAAAGGGAAAATGCAAAATACACTTCTTAAATTTTTCTTAGAAATCACTAGAAGAAAGTAATCATTTGCATATTGCTGAAGCTACTTTAATCACCTCTATTCGCCTTTTTGTTTCCCTCAGTACACCCCAGTACTGAGTACAAACAGTGCTCTTTTGTCCTCACTTTTCTCATCAATGGGACTGACTGGAAAGTATCTTGTTCTTCACTGCTGCTTCAAGATCTTCTTGAACCCTCCCTAGATTCCAGCCCACCCTGACTGAACTGCACTTGGGGTAGGCACCTTCTGTGCTGTCCCTACCAACCACAAAGGCCTTTCCTGTCTGCTGGCCACCATTCCTGTTGATTTCAGTGCCCATGAGGCTTTGGTGACTCTACCTCCCCATTCCTTGAACTCCTATCCAAGACTGTGTCCTTCACCAACCTCAGCATCCATTTTCCACAGTCTTTCTCTAAACTTCAGAGTTTACCAACTGTCTCTGTCCATTAACTTCATTCTAAGTTACCCATCACCCCATAGTAGCCTGACTCTAAAAGCACCTGACAAATCTCTCCCCATCCCCCATCTATTGGTCCTGCCCAGACTTCTACAACCCATCTTCACCCTGCATGTACTCAATCCTGCCTTATCTATTTTAGCTTTAATGAACCATTAATATAACTACTTTCTTGGAACTTCTGCCAACTCTTTTCAAGGTACAACTGGACATTACCCACACTCTGTCTGTTTACAGTTGCAGTCCCAGGGTTGGATCCACACTGGCTGGTCTATCTCAAGCTCAATTCAAGGCAACTGCTCCCAGACAACCCTGGAGCATTTCCCCAGCCTATTTACTCCTATAATATGACTTTTATACGTCTTTCTTCACTCTCTCTATAAGCTGATAAAACAATTTCTTATTTCACTGAAATAGAAGTGAACAGAAAGAATTTGCTTCCAAGCCACATGTATCTATCTGTACTGCATGGACTCCACCCTTCCATCTGCCCACAGATGGACTGTTTGGGCTTTTGACCAGGTATATCCCTGCACCTGCATGGACTTTGTCTTCCTGTGGTCCATGTATGGACGACTCTGACCTCCTGACCAGATCTCCCCTGCTCATGGCCTCCTTTCACCACATCAGATACAATGCTATCACTTATCCTCTCTCCTCTGCCTCAGCAGTTTCTCCTTCTCTCCTGGAACTCTCAACATAAAAACTCGTTGAAGTTTCTTCCACCTTAAAACAAGTAACCTCAACCCTCACAATCCCTTCCAACTCACATCCTTAAAGGGAAACTCCTCCAAAGAGTTTTATCCTTGCTGTCTTCAGTTTCTTGCTTTGTATGAGCTCTAGCATCCACAGCACTCTCCTTTGCCTGACCACTCTGTTGAGCAGCTCCACATCTGCATCCTACACACTGAGATCACAGGGTCAGCCCTGGAGCACCTTAGTAGGTCTTTAGTAGTGCTGGAGACATTACTTTTGTAAGTAAAAAGGCTAATTTCTTTAATAGACTTCCTTTCCTTTCTCTATTACAAATCACCTCCATTCTTTTTTGAGGCCACATCTTCTTCACTTTGGGCATTGTTGGGATTCACCCTCATATAACTGTGACCATCCTGACTTATAACACCCATGAATGCCCCTGAGTAACTCTGATCAGTTTTCTTGCATTTATTCTCAGCATACTATAAATAAACAAAACTATTAGAATGGTATGTGGAGCTACATGATTGGACCCTGGTACCATCAGTGCCAGGAATGTGCCTGATATCTTTGATATAACTGAGATACACCAGGTATCTGTACTTGGATAAAGTCACTTTTGTCCTGAGAACTTTAAAAGCCCCCTTCCTCTGACTCAAATTGCAGAGGTCCACTGGTAATTACTGTCACCCATGGTCACACTTCTGTCAGTAAGCCCTCAATAAATGGCACTCTGTGCAATCTGGATATGTTTGCCTCTTTCATGGTTTCTTGGGGCTGGTTCTTATAACAGTGCCAGGTTTTCTAGGACAGGTATACAGCCTTGTATCGTATATCTTGAAAACAAAATGTCGGGAACAGGCAGGAACTTTCTCACTATGCTTGCTATACTTGGCCCACTGGACTCTGCCTTATCTTTCCTTCATTGAGATCTTATTCCACTTTCTATCTTCACTGACCCTCCCCATCATCTCAAATACTATCTCTCCTATTCTCTTTAACCTCTCTAGAGCAAGGTAACCCTGAATTTAAAAATAGGAATCAGGGTATGATCCCCACCCCTTGTGGCACACTCCTTCAATCCAGGCTCTCCTAAGTAAGCATCTTCTTCTTAGTGTAAATCCACTTGACCTTTTTATGTTTTTATTAGTGCATTATAGCTATACGTAACAATGGGGTTCATTTTGACATAATTTTATATGCACAGAATATAATTTGTTCTATTCATCACTAGTACTTCCTCTCCTTCTTTCCCCCCTCTTCTACTGTCTACTCCATTAGCTTTCCCTCCATCTATGTATTTTTATATAAATTAATGCTCTATAGGTATAAATAAAGATGGAGTTCACTGTGGTACATTCACACATGCACACAGCATAATTTGGTTAAACTCCTTCTGTAGTTTCTCTTCTTTCTTGTCCCTTCCCCTTCCCCCAACTCCATTCTTCTACTCCATTGATCTCCCTTGCATTTTCATAATGTCTCTCCCTTCCTCCCTGCTTATTTTGGTCTAGTTTCAGCATATGAGGAAAAAAAATGCAACCCTTGATTTTTTTGCATCTGGCTTACTTCCCTTAATATGATGTCCTCTAGTTCCATCCATTTACCAGCAAATGTCATAATTTCCATTCTTCTTTATGGCTGAGTAGTATTCCATTGTGTATATATACCACATTTTCAGTATCCATTCATCTGTTGAAGGACACCCAGGTTATTTCCATAATCTGGCTATTGTGAATTGTGAATAAACATTGATGTGGCTGTGTCCCTATATTATGCTGATTTTAGATCTTTTGGATATATACCAAGAGGTGGGATAATGGGGTCATATGGTGGTTCTATTCCCAGTTTTTTGAGGCATCTCCATACTGCCTTTCAGGGGGTTGCACTAATTCACAGTCCCACCAGCAATGTATGAATGTACCTTTTCCCCTACATCCTTGCCACCATTTATTATTACTTGTATTCTTAATGACTGTCAATCTAACAAGAGTGAGATGAAATCTGAATGTAGATTTTGATTTACATTTCCCTGACTACAATGGATGTTGAACATTTTTTTCATATATTTGTTGGTCATTTTTACTTCTTCTTTGAGGAGTGTGTGTTTAGTTCTTTTGCCCATTTATTGGGTTATTTGCTTTTTTGGTGTTGAGTTTTTTGAGTTCCTTTTATATATGGGATATTAATCCCCTATCAGAGGAGTACCTGGCAAAGATTTTCTCCTATTCTGTAGGCTCTCTCTACACTCTTGCTCCCTTTGTTGTGCAGAAGCTTTTTAATTTGAGGGCATCCACTTACTGATTCTTGGTTCTATTTCTTGTGCTTTAGGGGTCTTGTCTTCTTTTGATGTGGAGATAACATCTATGGATCCAACTGTGCTCTTCCTGACCATGTTAACATTCCACAGAAACTCCTTTTCCATAGAACTGTCTACTACTTTTGCTTTTGTCATTTAGTATTGTTTTATTCTTATTTGACAAATAAAGAGTCACAGGGTTGGGACAGGTCCCTATAGGCTGTTCCATGCAACCTACCTGGCCTGCCAAAATTAGCACCTACTATGCTAGTGATAGGTATATTTTTCCACGATGGCTCTCTACACACACACCAACTATTGTCCCTGAGTCTTGGCTCTCTCATACTTTTTGCATGTTCAGTGTAGAGCTAGCTAATCACTCTCATAATACCCATAAAAGTAATCTGATACAGTCTATATGTACTTTTTTTCTCTTTAGATAAGTTACTTAAGAATAGAACACTTGCCTTTAGTGTTTAAAACAGTACCTGAAGAACTGATCCACAAGAAAGTTTGATAAGCCCAACAACAATTCTCCATTCAGGAAAGCAATCAAGTAAGCTAGTTGTAATTAAATCCATGAATACTCAACTTGAATGAACAATTTCATAAATCAGCTCCAGAATTTAGGACTTCAATAACTGCTTATCAGTATTATAATTCTATTCTGCCAAATTTACTTCCCAAGGAAACAAATTTTTAAAAATTAACATTTGAGATTTACAGGGTTTTAAGAAAGAGAAAAGCTGGGAGTAAAGTATTTAAAAAGATATAGTTTAACCTTAAAAGTTTCTTCTTCTTTGATGAGTTTTCTGGAGTCCTGGGAAACTTAGCTATCTGCTTCTGGGGTATACACAAGACACTCTCTGTTGATTTCACTCTTGTGTTGAACAGGCTGTCCATAACCTGTCTTGCATCAGAACCATATTCCATGTGGTATTTGTGAGGGGATTCTGAATCAATGAATAGGACATTTTCTGAGTCATCTTCTTTGTTGCTATCTGATGAATACTCCAAAATTTCTGCAGAAATTGGCTGGGAAAATTAAGAGAAATGCAATTAAGTATTCTTTAGTCAAGCCTATAATTCTATTCCTTTATGATTATGTTCCTTAAAACAGCTTTAAAATATAGTATCTGTAGCTTAGACTGTTTTGACACAAAATCCAACAGTAACCAATATAAAATAAGATTAGGTTATGTCAATTGTAAAACACACATTATCTTATAGAGGCCACCAAAATCAGTATATATATATTTCTATCTTCTTTTAGCAAACATGTTTAACCCATATAGGCAGTCTCTGAAACTGAACAAATAGAACTACATGAGAGGTTGATTCTAGTCATTCTAATGTGAACACTTAAATTAAAAAAAAAAAAAAAATTCTTGAGGCCCAGAATAGCCAAAGCAATCCTTAGGGAGAAAGGTGATGTAGGAAGCATCACAATACTAGACCTCAAATTATAGTATAGGACGAGAGTAACAAAAACAGGATGGGACTAGCATCAAAACAGGCTAGAAGACCAAAGGATTGAAATAGAAGACACAGAGACAAACCTACATAAATACAGTTACCTCATACTAGGCAAAGTCACCATAAACATATTGGAGAAAAGATAGCCTCTTCAACAAATGGTGCTGGAAAAACTGGAAATCCATATGTAGTGGAATGAAATTTAATCCCTATCTCTCACACTGCACAAAACTCAACTCAAAGTGGATCAAGGATTCTACTCATTAGACCAGAGACCCCGTGCCTACTGAAAGAAAGGCCCAACTCTCAGGTTGGCTTAAAAATTGATTTCCTCAACAAGACTCCTAAAGAACAAGCAGCAAAATCAGAATTCAATAAATGGGATGGCATCAAACTAAAAAGCTTCTTCATAGCAAAGGAAACAATCAAGAATGTGAAAAGAAAGCCTATAGAATATGAGAAAATCTTTGCCATCTGTACCTCAGACAGAACATTAATTTCCAGGATATACACAGAACTTAAAACCATAACACCAACAAACAAACAAACAAAAACAAATAGCCCAATCAATAAATGGGCAAAGGACCTGAACAGGCACTTCACAGAAGAAATAAATATGGTCAACAAATATATGAAAAAATTTCCAACATCTCTAGCAATTAGAGAAATGCAAATTAATACTACACAGAGATTCCATCTCATTCTAGTCAGAATGGCAATGGTCAAGAATATAAGGAACAGAACTGGGGTTGTGGCTAAATGGTTGAATGCTTGCCTAGCATGTATGGGGCACTAGGTTCAAATTCTCAGCACCATATACAAGTAACAGATAAGTAAATAAATAGATGTCCATCAGCAAGTGTGTGTGTGTGTGTGTGTGTGTGTGTGTATAATAAATAACAATAAGTGTTGGTGAGGATGTGAGGGAAAATACTCACTGGCACAACTTCAAATTAGTGCAACCACTCTGGAAAGCAGTAATGGACACTCCTCAGAAAACCTAGAATGGAACCACCATCTGACCCAGTTATATCCTTCCTTGGTTCATACTGAGAGGGACTTAGAAACAGCACATTCAGTGATGCAGCCACATCAATATTATAGCAGCTCAATTCACAATAGCTAAGCTATGGAACCAACATAGATGCCCTTCAACAGACTGATGGATAAGGAAAATGTGGTATATACACACAATGGAATAATAAATCAGCCACAAAGAAGAATGAAATTATGACATTTGCCAGTAAATGGCTGGTACTGGAAACTATTGTGCTAAGTGAAATAAGCCAGTCTGGAAAAAAACAAAGATCAAATGTTCTCTCTAACATGTGGAAACTAATACACAATAAGTGGAGGTGGTGGAGAAAAGAGAAGTTCATTGGATAAGACAAAGGGGAATGAAGGAAAGGAAATAGGAAAGACAGTAAGACAGCAGAATGGATCAGCTATAACTTTCCTAAGTTCATATAAAATACACAATCTGTGAAATTCCACATCATGTATGATAACAAGAATGAGATCCTAATTAGAATAAGTTATACTCTGTATGTATAATATGTCAAAATACATTTTACTGTCATGTACATCTAGAAAGAATTTTTTAAAATAAACAAAAAATTTTGGATTTTAAAATTTAATGTGAATCTAAATAACTTTTATTATAAATCAAATACAAAAAAATAGTGCATCTTTAATTTTTTACCATTTGATTTCACAAAGCAGTCTCTAAGGGTAAAGATGAGAACCTGACTTTTCTAGCATAATCCAAATAGTTTTCAGAGACTAGTGAGAAATTGCTAGTATCAACAGAAACTTTTTTTTTCTTTTTTTCCCCCTGTATTGGGGATTGAGTCCATTACCATTCTATCTCTAAGCTACATTACAGACCTTTTTATTTTACTTTGAGATAGATTTTCACTAAGTTGCCCAGTCTGTTCCTTGAACCTGTGATCCTTTGGCTTGCTGAGTAGCTGGGGTAACAGTTGTAGGCTGCCACAATTGGCTAAATAAATACTCTTTAAAAATGAGTCATTGTCTCCATTCTCTAAAATGTTTCTTCCTTCTCCTACTCAAATTTCTGACCTTCCATTCCGACCAGCAGACCCCTGCCTGAGCTCAGGACTGCCACAGATCCACCCACACCAACCTGTGTGGGGACCCAGGTTCCAAATAGGCCCGCGTCCATCCCACCACTGGCAGACATCTCTGCCAGAGCTCAGGCTCTGGCACAGGACCGCCTCTTCCAACCAACAGACCCCTGCCAGAGCCCAGGCCAGGCCCAAATTCACCTACAGGGACATATGTGGGACCCAGGCCAGGGTAGGTTCGAGTCCACCACACCCCTGCTCCCAATCTGGGAGCCCAAGCCTAAACCACTTCAATCTTGGGACACTACAGACATCACCACAGACTACCCCATGCAGTAGCCCCTAACTTTTGACAACAGACAGGGCCTAGAAGCAACTGCATCACAGAGCAAGCATCCCAAATACTGTAAGGCCCACCCTTTCAGGCCCATCTCTGTAAGATGCTGCATCCATCTTGGGGCACCTCCACTATTATCTCAAGTTACCTCGGCTATTGCCGCCGCCATTTTAGTTGCAGAAGTATACACTGAGGGACACCAGCAGGGTCTGGAAGCCCAACATCAAGGTGAGGTTCAGACAATTTGCATGGATACTACAAGGGTAGAAAGTGTAATATCTCAGATTCTGCACTGCAAGATTGGAAGACACATAGACAACATGAAAAAACAAGGAAGGAAAGTGCCCCAAACAAACCAGGATACTACAATAATAGAACCCATGGACAACAAAGTTGATGAAATGTCAGAGAAGGAGTTCAGAAGGTTCATAATTAAAATGATCTGTGAATTAAAGAATGACCTAAATGAGGAAATACAGGCAAAAATTGATCACTCTAACAAAGAGATAAGAGAGTAAATATACATAGCAAAAGATTACTTCAAGAAAAAGAGAGAGATTCTGAAAAAAAAAAAAAAAACCCACTCAGAAATAAAGAAAACAATAAACCAAATAAAATACTCAATAGAAAACATAGCCAAAAGATTAGATCACTTGAAAGAAAGAACATCAGATAATGAAGACAAAGTATACAATATGGAAAATAAAGTTGATCACACAGTAAAGTTGGTAAGGAACCATGAACGGAACATCTAAGAATTATAGAATAGCATCAAAAGACTAAATGGAAGAGTTATTGGGATAGAGGAAGGCACAGAGTTTCAAACCAAAGGAATGAACCATCTCTTCAATGAGATAATATCAGAAAGTTTCCCAAGCATGAAGAATAACTTGGAAAACCAAATACAAGACGCTTACAGGACAGCAAATGTATAAAATTACAGATCTACACCAAGGCACATTATAATGAAAATACCTAGCACATAGAATAAGGATAAAATCTTTTTAAAAAAATACCTTTATTTTTATGTGGTGCTGAGGATCGAACACAGGGCCTCGCACATGCTAGGCAAGTGCTCTACCACTGAGCCACAACTCCAGCCCCAAGGATAGAATCTTAAAAGCCCTAGGAGAGAGGAAACAGATCACAAATAGGAGGAGACCAATGTATATATCAGAAAAATTTTCAACGCAGACCCTCAAAGCCAGGAGATCATGAAATGACATATACCAAGCTCTGAAAGAAAATGGATGCTAACCAAGAATCTTATATCCAGCAAAATTAAGCTTTAGATTTGATGATGAAATAAAAACCTTCTGTGATAAACAAAAGTTAAAAGAATTTACAACTAGAAAGCCTGCACTATAGAATATCCTCAACAAAATATTCCAATAAGAGAAAATGAAAAACAACGATGAAAATCAGCAGGGGGAGGTATTATACTAAAGGAAAACTAATCAGAAGAGAAACTAAGTTAAGTTAAACACCAAATAAACAAAAATGGCTGGGAATACAACTCATGTCTCAATAATAACCCCGAAAGTTAATGGCCTAACCTCACCAATCAAAAGACAGCATATTGTAAGACAAGCATATTGAAGTAAAAAAAAAAAGACCCAACAATATGCTGCCTCCAAGACTACCTCCAAGAGATTCATCTCATAGGAAAAGATATCCACAGAGCAATGGTGAAAGGATGGGAAAAAAAATCATACCACTCACATGGATTGTGGAAGCAAGCAGGGGTTTCCACCCTCATATCAAATAAAGTAGACTTCAAGCTAAAGTTAATCAAAAGGCATAAAGAAGGATACTACATACTGCTCAAGGGAACCATACACCAACAAGACTTAACAATTATAAATATATATGCCCCAAACAATGGAGCATCTACGTTCATCAAACTCTTCTCAAGTTCAAGAGTCAAACAGACAAAAAAAACAACAATTCTTAATTGACTTCAACACATCTCTTTCATTACTGGATAGATCTTCCAAACAACAGCTAAACAAAGAAACTGTAGAACTCAATAATACAATCAATAACTTAGACTTAACTAACATACAGACTATTTCATCCTTCAACAAGTGAATAAACTTTCTTCTCAGCAACACATGGATTCTTCTCTAAAACAG